CTTGTCAATGTCCCTTTCAAGAAAATGGCCACAAATTATCTTGATAACGCTGAGTATGTAGGGAGGACGGTAAATCGAGGGAGTTATTTCTGGTCATTAGGGCTGAGGGCATTTTATCTTTCTTTTCCTTTATTTTTGTGGTTATTTGGACCAATTCCTATGTTATTGTGTTGTATTGTCCTAGTTTTTTTGTTGCATTTCTTGGATGTTACTTTTGGTCATGGTTGGGATTCTCTGTCTCCTCCTGAAGAAAAGAAGACGGACGAAGAGGCCAATTGAGAAGATGACAGATTTGATACTACAATAAAGAGAAAAGTGCAATGGAGTCGGGTCGGGCTCTTCTGTTTATTTGTCACTTTTGTTGTGAACAAGAGGGCAATGTGGATTCAATCCAAGTTGAATCGAATTGCTCATTTACCTTGTATTTAACTTCTCCTTTAGTTCAGATTTTTGGTTAAAATGCATTTAACTAGTTCTATAGTAATTGATCTTCGAGATCAATAAAAAGATGAATGCATATTTGCATGTAAGGAAGTGCGTGGAAGAAACAATGTAAATAAATAAATTTGCTTCAATTAACAGCTAATTTTATTGTGTTTTTAGATTAAATAGTTTTGGATGTATTCATTTCACAATAGAGTTTTCAATATAAGTAGATAAACTTACTTCGAATGTTAAAATTTATTGGCTCTAAATATTGATAGTTGCACCTCGTGGCACGAAGGATTGTTCTGAATCAATAAGTTAATATATTCATCAATAATATCTATTTAGTCGCGATTGGTATCACTTACATTTTTTTTTCTCGTACATGTTTGATTTTCATCATTTTTCCTCAAACCCATTTTTAACCATGCATCCTATGATATTCACAATTTTATTTAATTTTGTACCACACATTTTTTAAACTTTTTTCCTCCAATCTTTTATTAATTAATACGTCTCGTCCTTGATGATGATATGTTTCAAAATATTTTATTTTCATGCTTTGAAATGAATTTTTCCCCACTTTTTATTATTATAATTGATGGGACAAAAAGTTTTTTTATGCTATTTCAACTAACTTTTAGACATAAAACTGTTATCAAATATAACATGTGTTAATTAATGAAAAATTTGAGGATAAAAATGATATGAAAAATCATTAGGGATATAAGTGTTATAATGAGCAAAAAATTAAGAATTTTAAGTTCAATTAAAATGTGGTGCAAAAAATAAAAATTATGGTGTGAATATAATTACCTTTTATCAAAATTTAATAAAAATCTATTTTTGTCTAAATAGGCTTGAATTTGTTAATATAAATATTTTTTCTTCCCGGGGAGACACGCATAGGCTGAAAAAAAGGGCAGAAAACGGCAGGCTGAAGACGGACACGCAGAAACACGGCCAAATATTGGAATAATAATTACTTTCCATCAATTTATTGGTGATGTTTCACTTTTATTCGTTTGATTCCAACATTACGAGTAACTAAATATTTTTAGTGCTAAGACTACGATGTTATAAACATTTTTGAATCTTATTTGTTTTTGATATAAAAGCAAGTTTTCAATTATTGAATAATTGACATGGACTTATTTTTTTCTACAATTATATGCACAATATTTGTATGATTTTTGTGCCTTGTTTTACCTTCGAAAAATTGAAAATAAAATAGACATAGTGTAAATTGTCGTAAAGTCTGATAGGGGATAGAAATATACCGATATATTTTATGTGATTTTTAAGTATTTACAAATTTATTAATTCATTTTTTTTTTTGTATCCATCATAGAAATATAGTCGGATCACAGATAAGAATATGTTTAATTCTATTCGAGAAAGATTGTTAAACAAATTATAAATATTGATTTTTATAATTGAATCATGTTGGCAAATTTATAAGTTTCGGGTTAAAGGGGAATTGAGATCCTAGTAAGCTTTTCATTATCATATTTTTATAAAACTTGTATTTAATGTATAATCTTGCATTTATTTTAGTTAAATTAGGTCTTACATTCATAAGTGTATTATTTAATTTATAGAAAGAATGAAAATTTGTATTGTTTCAGTTAAAGCTTAATTAAGTCAAATTTGAACTAATACAATCTCTGTGGAAACGATACTTGGACTCAAAATTCATTTTACTATTTGTTAGAGGTGTCAAGACGGACGGGCCCACCAGACCAGCGAAAACCGGCCCAGATCGACCAGAGACCGTGGGCCGACCCGTGACCCGAGCGGACGGTTCACGGGTCAAGGGAGTGTCACCCGCGGGCTTCACTGGTTGTTGACCTATGATTTTGATTATAACAAACAAATTGATCTTATTTACTAACAAGTTAAAATTAAGTGATTATAGTTTTTCAAATGAGCATTAAAAGAATATCGATCATGGACATCGAAAGAACAAGATCTATCATCACAACCAAACTCATGAAGCAAGTCAA